ATGCAACTTTTTATGAAATAACTTCATTTAAAGATATTTTGCCAGGAAAAAAAAACAGCCAATTGAGATATTAGAAATTATAGTCAAAAATGATCTCATTCCCTTTTCCAAATTTTGCTCTAGCAATAAGAATTTTTTTAACCTTACCTCTTTCTGTGGCTTTGGGTGAAAGAAATTTTTAAGTAAATTAAAAATTAGTAAAAATTACTTGACAAATAATATGACACAAGAAAGGCTTTCAGATTTGGCCGTTATCTCTATTGAAACCGAAATCTCTGAAAAAATTGATTTCATCGAAATTATTGACAAATTTCCTTTTCTGAAAGCCAGAAAAGTTTTTTTACAGTTAACTATGAGGTATCTTTGTAGAAGGAAATGTTAAGAGTTTCATTTTAAACACTTAAAGAACAGGGGCGTAGCTAGAGGGGGGCAAGAGGGGGCATCTGTCCCCGGGCGCAGAATCCAAGGGGCGCCAAACTGATGTTACGACATTTTAGAATTAAATGTTTTCCATCCTTGGCAAGCAGTAGGGGGCGCGAAATCTTCAGTTGTCCCTGGGCGCTGAAAACCCTAGCTACGACTACGACGCTGTTAAAGAGATATTTTTGATAGCGGAAAGTCTTCTTAACTGCTACTAAGTAATAATTTCTACATTTCTGGTCTTTCCATTAATTTCCATTAATGTTTCTGGTCTTCTCATTAATGTCTGGTCGTTCCGTTAATGTTCAGAAGTGGCAGAGGAGTAACATAGGCAGTTCGTTTAAACAGTTCATTGTAGTAATCGGATCAACTGCATTTAGTCTTCTTTACCTTGAGTAACAGAGAGTTCTATCAGAACATCCTCCACGAAAGCATCGCTTCTAAAGTATATAGTGTAGTGAGCATCATTGTAAATGAAATCAGTCTTTAATATTCACAGATTCTTTCATCAGTTAAAATATCCACCCCCGACGAAAAGTTTATTTGAGCTTGTGAAGAAATTTATATGCGATCTACTTTAAATATGCCAATAGTTTGGCTGTCAGACCTTTTTTTTTCCTAACAGCCTCATGATATCTCGACAATAAAAACACGATTTTAAAATTAACAAGATTCGATGATACTTCATATTTTATCTTTACTTTTATTGCGCCTCATCAATTAACTCAAGAAACTTCTATGTGTTAAATTTCGCGACTATGACTGATGTTTATCATTAATTTTTATTTACAGCAACGAGTATTTCTTAAATGTTTTTAGCAAGAAGCATATCTTTTAGATATACTTTTATATCTATCTCGTTAGAGTCAACGGAACAAAACTAAATTTTTTAAAAGATATTTATTACGTCAAAATCAATTAATTACATTAGAATTAGCCAGAACAGTTTGCCTTAAATCTTCCACAAAGTACTCAGAATTTTAAACCTCTTTTTAGTTCTCTAAAACTGAAAGATTTATTTTATTGTTTCAATATAAACAATAGAATTGTTAAAAACATTTATCTTACCTTTATATCTTTACATATTTTTACTTTTATCATATTTATATCTTTACATCTCAGTTGACAAAGAATGAACCAATTTGTTTAATCCTTCAGCATCTGCTTCAGAAATAACTTTAAATGGAACAATCCATACAGCCCCGCGCAACATGAGTGTGAATACAAGCCAAAAGCCAAAAACTTCGATTCATGCGCACCAAAACCTCGTTTATTGGAAAATTTTATATAGATATAAAAGTGCAACTAATAATATGGTACATTTCATTTTCAATCACCTTTGTTTAGTCTTCGGATGCTATTCCAGAAGGCCAAATTGCCAAACCCAACAGTTATGTCGCCATCTATGTTTAGTTAGTGGACTTTGACAAGTTTGTTATGAGTAAGTAAAGAGCTTGAGTCAAATTAATGAGAGACAGCAAAGAACAACTAATGTCGGCAGGATAATATTTTCTATGAAAGTTCAGTCTATACAATTCGTTACACAATATGTAATTAGTTCTTTAAAGCTACTTTCAATAACAAATTTTAATGTTAGAAAATATTATATACGCTAGAGTGAAAGCTCATGTCTTCTGATAATAAATTAATGCTATAAGTACTTCTTTTTCTTTTTTCAGCTGGATTGTTTACAACACAAAGTTCTTTTAATATTCACTGATGTATACTGAAAAGTTTTAAAAATAAATTTCTGAATTTTTCATCAGATAGCTAATTTGGCGCCCCTTCTATTTGTTCACCTGAGGTAAGTGCCTCATTTGCCTCACCCTCGTCCCGGCCCTGCTTGTAAGTACATACTGGAGATTAAACTAAAGTCCAAAGCGACAGTCCTGTTTACTTCTCTTAGTCTTCAGTACCATATATTAAACGCTATAGTACTTTTCGCTCTCTTTCTCAGTAAGGAATTCTTCCTCCTTTATTCCACTGTAATCATAGATTAATTGATATTCGTATTTTTCCTTCAAAGGTTTCGATGGTGTAAGAGAAAGGCTTCACAAAAGAAAGAAAGAAATAAATTGTTGAAATCTCATGATTCTTTTAAGTACTCCCCTCAATGTAAAAACAATTCTTTCCTCAATTAAATTTCACAGGCAGTTTAGTATCTCATGATTTTTCACCTCACTAGATATCAAGCGCCCACCAGCGGCCGAGCGGTAAAGTCGTTGAACACTGGTATTTCGGTCCGAGGTTCGAATCCCGCGAACGGGCTGGCTGCATGGGTGTTTTCTTATCTTAATTCTGAACTCTTTCCTCCAACTTAGCAGGCCCCCCAGCGGCCGAGCGGTAAAGTCGCTGAACACTGGTAGTTCCGTCCGAGGTTCGAATCCCGCGAACGGGCTGGCTCCATTGACGTTTTCGTGGTTTTCCCCATGTATAACGTGTATACGAGCCAGTTTCCTTTAGAAAGTCCTCCACGTAGGCATCCCTCCCCTTAGACAGATAGTCCTAGTGCGCTTTGCCATAATTAAATACACCAACACCAACTAGATATCAAGCAGATAAGATCGTTGAATGTTGGCAGTTCGGCCTGAGATTCAAACCCAAAGGTCAGGCCGACAGCACTAACATCTTCATGGTTTATCCTATGTGAATACAAGCTAGTGTACCTTTCGTGATGTCAGTATGAACTAATTCTCAATTTCTATGTTCTTCGTGGAGTATCCTAATCCTTCATAAAGGTATCCGTTCTCATGGTAGCAGATAACCGTAGCAAACATTTCCACAACGTAAAACAATAACGCTTTTTCGCTCCCTTGATACATATGATTAAAAGAAGTAATAGTTTCCCGCAAAATATGTCGCTCAAAAAAATTTTCCCGTTGGGGCTTAGCGCGGCCTCCGCTTCTTTCTAGCTATGCCACTGATTTCTAATAAAGTAATACAAGTAGTGACTACTTGTGGGGTTATGTTTATTTTTACTAACAGTTATTTTTTGTAAACCTTTCTTGAATTCTCTTATTACCCTGCGCATTGCGTCATCAGGATGTAAATAAAATAGAGTGAACAAGAATATTTAAACTGTTGGAGCGAAAAGCTTAAGAGAGAAATAGAAGGTTAAAAGGGATCCATTTCACTATTGTGAGCACGTGTTTGTTAGTTTCTATCAGCTGTTAATTTTAATAGCGGCTATGCATTCTTGCGATAGAGTTAGTATCTTGCCGGTGTCGGTTTCTGAATCAACCTGTTAGTTTAAATTGAACTAGTCGATGGAACGCTGTCGGTCACAAATTAGATGGAACAGCTGGACAACCACCTTTTCCTGTACTCGGTCCTAAAAGTGCAAAGGATAGCCTACGAGGCTACGCATTCTGGTCTTCTAGTTAGTATATCTTCGGCATATATTTCGAAGTCAGCCTGTTAGATTAACTTGGTTAAAGAACAACACTTACGTAGATCTTGTTACATTTTATGATAGCTAAGCGTACTAGATCCTACATTCTTGCTAAATATCGTTCTATGACAATATCTTAGGAAGGACTTTATATAACGTTTAGGTCACTTAAACACTATCACAGCTGTAATAACTTACTTACATCTTTTATCGGTGGTTCTTGTGTTCTATTGGCCAAACGAAGACTCTTTCCTTTAACTAAATCTATTTAATGAAGAGAAGACTATGTACAAATATTATATAGTACAGATTACAGAGTATCTAGTTTATGCCACTCTCAATCACTCTCATCAACCTCTCAACCCTCTCTGCTGAAAACTCTTAATTAGTTAAACATACGGGCGGCGCAACGCCCTCTATCTCTTTTTTCTACATCACTCCCCACCTGTACTCTTTAATAAGAGTACACAAACGTACTTACATAACAATATCAACATAATTAACAATGGATTAATACTAAATGGTATGACATATATAAATTAATAACATAAAAGAATAATCTATACTAGTATATATCAAAGCCACAAATGAACATAATCATTAATAATATAATAAAAACTCAATAATATCAAAAGTTCTAAATTAAATCTCGAAAGGATATAACATCCGGATCGATCTTCTGAATTGTCCTTTGGGAGTGCGAACAAGGCACGCTCGAACATGTCCATCTCTTCCTATAATCACGTTTTCAATTACACCCATGTCCCAAAGTAGTTTGGATTGTTTTGTCCTTCTACCAACACAACGTCTCCAGTCTTAAGGTTCCGCTCAGTTTTAGGATTAGCAAAGTTATGGGCATTTCTAAGATGGAGTAAATATTGTTCTTTTCACTTGATCCATGTTAATTTTAAGAGCTTAGATTGGTAAAGCTTCCATCTAGTTAAAGTCTCTTTGTCGGATACCTTATTAAAAATTTCCAAGAAATGCTCGGGAAAGTTAAATGTACCACGTCCTGGCAATAAAAACTGTGAAGGTGAGAGCGGGCGAGGTTCACCCAGCTCGTTGCTCTCGTATGTTAAAGGTCTATTATTTAGCACACACTCGAGTTCAGTTAATATTGTAGAGAGCTCTTTGAAAGTCAGTAATGCTCTCCCTAAGATTTTCTTCAGAGGTTCCTTGACGCTTCTCATCAAACGCTCCCAGAACCCCCTCCCCACCATGGGGAACGCTCAGGTATGAATTTCCATGTTACCTCTTTGGATGTCAAGAAATCACTCACACTTGGATCTGCTTTGATTCTTTTAAATCCTTTAATTATTTCACATGTGCTGCGGAAATTCTTGGCATTATCTGAATAAATCACTTTGCAGCTCCCTCTTCTTGCTAAAAAACGTCGTAATGAAAAAATGAAACTTTTTGCTAACCACTTCAGTGTGTAAGCACGAGTGACGGCGCATGTAAATAAGGCTATGTACACCTTTTTGTGGTTATCCGCTTTTTCTCTAATAGTAACTGCTCCCGTTAAGTCGATGCCTACAACTGTGAAAGGATTACTTTGGACTACACGATCTCTGGGTAACTGACCCGTTAACTGTTTGGCGGGCTTCACTGCGAACTTTTTACACACCAGGTAAGCGTTAATAACTTTCTTTACTACTTGTCTTCCTTTAGATATCCAAAATTTATTCCTGACTTTCAACAATGTTGCCATGACTCCTGAATGGAATAATTTTATGTGTTCACTATATATCACTAGTTCGGTGAACTTCGTTTTCGTTTAATCAGAATAATGGGATGTTTTTCGTCATCTATTAATTCTGCTTGTTCCAAACGACCTCTGACACGCAAAATACCTCTACTGTCCAGATATGGTGCTAAACTGTAAAGCTTAGAATCTGGTGTTATTAGATTATTCCTCTCTAGTTGTCGAATATCCGAAATGAAATTCGCTCTCTGTACTTGTTTTATCCAGTACTCCTCAGCTTCTTGGATCTCCAATACAGTAAGAGGACCTTCTTCACAAACGCGTTTTCTTAGCTTGGCGACAAACCGCTTTACCCAAGCTCTCTCAACAATTTTTCGAAACTGCTGAATTTGGTAATGTCTAACGCATTTTCTTCTTCTGGAATAGTCACCTGAACATAAGTGCTTAAACGTTCCAAATTTTGAGTATCAGTTTCTACTTTAAACTTCTGCTCAGGCTATTGATCTTTAGAATCTTTCAACCATGATGAACCATGCCATCAGTTATTATCTTTCACCAATGCATTTGCTGTTTCACCACGAGTTAGTTTATCTGCTGGGTTTTCCGACCCTGGACAATATTTCCACTTATCGGGCGAGTACAGTCTTGTATTTCTGCAACTCTATTCGACACGAACTGCTTCCACTCACGCACTGACCCCTTTATCCACCACAAGCAAATTTCGGAGTCCGTCCACAGAACTAACCTACCTACCAAATCCTGAAACATTTTCAGTAAATATTTCCCTAACCTAGCTGCAACTACAAGCCCCAATCAATTCCAACCTAGGGAGGGACAACTTTTTTAACGGAGCTATCCTACTCTTGAACATTATAAACGACGTACATACCTCTCCTCTCTCATTCTTATATCTAAAATATGCCACCGCTCCATATGCCACTACTGACGCATCATTGAAAATATGAATTTCAACCGACTGACCTTTACTTAGAACTTCTGTAAAGTAGTACCTCTCTATTTTCAACGCGTTTAATCCCTCAATTTCAGCGCACCACTTTATCCATTTGCACCGTAACTCCTTTGGCAACTCTGCATCCCACTCCAAACCTCTCTCCCATATTTCCTGCATCAGTCTCTCAACTCGCACCACAAATGGAGAAATAAATCCGACTGGGTCAAACACCTTAACTGCTGTGCTTAACACCGATCTTTTGCTATTTCTCAACGATTCCAAACTACTCAACAATGATGTAACGTCTACTCTCAAACCATCCTCTTCTAAGTCTAAACAAAGACACTTTCCTTTAACTAAATCTATTTAATGAAGAGAAGACTATGCACAGCTATTATATAGTACAGATTACAGAGTATCTAGTTTATGCCACAACTCTCATCAACCTCTCAACCCTCTCTGCTGAAAACTCTTAATTAGCTAAAGCGCCCTCAATTTCTTTTTTCTACAACAGCTTCCAGCTCTCCCGGTTTTCGACACATCTCTCGTTTCTTAATTTTTAGCCTTTACTACAGAAAGTGCTTAAAGTGTTTTACAGCTATTTCATTGCCTAATTTAATTTTAATTAATTTTATTTTATTTTATTAATTTTAATTTCATTATTGAATTAATGAAGGTTGAGACGATTTCATTTCTCCGTCTTGGTGATCTTCAATATAAATTTTCCTATTAAATTTTGCTTGATCTGGATCTACTGTAGATACTTGTAGAACTTTATATGACGATTCAACCAAATATTTTATCAGTAAATATTTGTATTTAGTTTTGTGTTAACCAATGTGCAGAGTCATTAAGTCCATTTCGAACAAGCAACACGAAAAAGATACAATGTCTCCACTGGGCTTCGAACCGCTAACTTTTCGATTGCTAGCCGAATGTGTTTATAGTTACACCACGAGGAGGCTTTAGACCTAATTGCCGAATCTTAATGGTGACGAATTATTGTCTACCACATTTTAATTTTTATCACTGTAGATGGGATTTAATTTCTAAATTCCGAAGTGATGAAACTCTATGGAAGGTTATCAGGAAAAAAGGGAAAAACTACACAAAATAATAAAATAATTAATTAAAATTATTAAATAAATGAATTAAAATTAAATAAGTTAGGAAGATATAAATGAAAATTTAATAAATTATTAAATTTATGATTATGAATGAAAGAAATTAAATATTGAACTTCGTCTTAATTGGGCTCTGGCTGGACTTACAATGTCATTCAAAAACTAAGAAATAGCTCAGCTGGTCTCCGGTTCAGCTTAAGCTCTGAATATACGGTATAAGGCAGCGGTTCTCAAACTGTGGTACATTACAGTATTTTTAATGGTAGAATTTTTACAGAAAAAAAAAATTTAAAAAAAAAAAAAAAAAAAAAAATCTGAAATGTTTCAGATTTTAAATTACGTCCAAAGGGGCGTTTTTTAACATTTTGTGTGTTACCTTTCTTTATTAAATATCATGTTCCTCGCACTTAAACCATAAGATCCAGTGCAACAGCAATATCGCAAAATAGTTTTAAAACGAGCATATCTTTAGAATTTCCGATACAGAGACTCACGCGCTGGAGATAAAAATGTTTTTTCTGCACAAACGTTGCCATTGCTCGCTTTGAAATCCTTGAGTTTGTTAATCAAAAATTCGTCAAAGTTTTAAAAAAATAGGAAATCGATCATAAAACAAATTTCAAATTTCAAATTTGGTCTTCCACATGCTCATATTCGTTGGAGGATTACGTTATTCAAAATTCGATGACTCTACGTACCGTTGTTTTATCACAATACGAGAAATATACATACATTTATGCAGATTTTTCATTATTTAATTTCTTCAAATATAATGCAGGACTCTAACATTTTGTGGCAACAGTTTGAAAAGTGAACCGACATTTATGAGACCGACGCAAAATGCCAAAACGAAACTAATAGTCCTTCGGGATTCAAATCCCTTTGGACTAATAAATGTTGAGAATGAATGTAAACCTATGCCCCTTTTAATATTTATTATTCAGAAACACATATATTTTTCAAGTTTGAATTTTATGACTCTAGCTTTAATGTTGAAATGATGACTTTTCCTAGAGCTTCAAACAATTTTCCGACATTACGATTTCCAAGAATCGTAGCGGCACTCCAGTATATTTGTAATATACTTATTTATACTTTATTGTAATGTAAAATTTTCCTTCACGAATATAATTAAATAATATGAATTTAAAGGGCTTTATTCTTCGATTTTATACATTCCATTTAGAGTGGATTGATTTTTAACGGCGAAATGCTTTTATGGTGGTACATATATTTTTGTTTCTTATTTATGTGGTACAAAATTTGAAAAGTTTGAGAGCCCTTGGTACAAGGTATTATGTCAAGAGATGAAAGAAACAAAAATAATTTTTTCGGAAAAACAATGGAAAAAAGTAAAACAATTAAAACCTCACTAATAAGAGTAGAGAGAATGCTACAAACAGAAATTTAAACGGAGATCGGAACAGAACGTTTAGTGGAAACAGAAAAGTGTAGCTTCTTAAACGAGACCAACGCTTTCTGATCTTGATGCCCTGCCGACATAACACTAAGCGTCAAGCAGAATGCGATTGAAGGAAAAGAAAAAAATTCTTCCGAATCCGATTTGATAACAATATGAGAACAAACGTTAGGTCTACGATTTTCGTCCATCGCTATCTGGTTGCGTAGTTCAAATGTCTGCAAGAGCTCTGCAATGATGGATCACTAACGCTGAACGTTCACGATTAGAGTAATCAATTTTAGTACTTTCGGGAACGAAACATTTTACCCTATTCTCAATTCATTGCAGTGCTTGGAAAATAAGCCTTTGACATGGCTGTGGAGCTTTTCTTTTCTTCTTTCTTTTCTTTCTTTTTTTTAAAGTCTCAACCTCCGTTTTTGTTCCCAGGAGAGAGACAAGCATGCATTCAGAAGTTAAAAATCAGTTTGTCAAGCATATTTATTACTGAAATAAAATTTTTCCGATGAAACTGTGTTTCACTTACATAAAAGAAGTGGCGGAGTGCACTGGACCCTTTTTTTATTTAGGGCTCCGGTGCTTTATGGATAGAATTAACGATTTACCTCAAAGACAGAGAAATACGGAGCCAGGCTCCGGTGGATTCCGCCTCGGTTTAAGCTTTTATTGCAGAGCGTTCTTTTTTATTTTTTAGAGGTAGGGGACGTAAAAAGTGTGCAGTGCCCTTACCGGGACTCGAACTCCCGACATCCTGTTTGGTAGAAGGATGTGATCCTGATTCCATTACGAAGGCACTCAGTTAGGAGGGACACGGTATCTTACTAATATATCGCACATTACTATGTTTATCACCACAATAGTATTCGCTTTAATTATTAGTTTAATTTTTATCGTGTTTAGAAATACTTTAATAAATGGAAGCTTTCCTTCCCTACTCCGAATTTTCTCAGTATAAAAGTGAATTAAAATCACAAATGAAATTAGCCAAGAACATAACAGATAGAATATGCAATTAATATATTTTACTTTGGAATCATAATATAAATATTTGAATACAGCGAATCATGCATTATAAGGCGAATTTAAATAAATTTTGAATTCTTTTAAAATGATGCCATGGCGCAATGCAAAATCCTCCCGGAAAATTAAACAGCGTACATTATGGTAAAAGATAGAAAGACATGACACAAATAATGTAATGTCTCAACCAGAAAAAATTAACAATATATTGGGTTGGCAAGAATGTAATTTCGGTTTGCACAATTTGCACAAACAAATTCCGTGTAATTTTTGTTTAAAAATGTTAGTTTGCGGGGTACAAAAACAAATATTTTCGACAGAGTTTAATTTTTTATTTTCATAAAGGCAGGAAAGCGGCTGAGGTTCACAAAGATATATGTGAAATTGTTAGCATAAATTTAAATATTTTGCATAATGAAACTTGGACGGCATACGAAACGAACGTGCGCCAAGATATGTATTGGGCGTGAGAAAGTAAAGTTCGCGTGCA